GGTTATTTATTTTTATTTTTTTTTTTTATTAAATTTACGAAACGTTCGACTCCGACTGGTGTTTTGTTAAAAAAAATTATACGTTAACGAATATCGACTTAATCGTAAACAATCTTTCGGAATTTATCATTATTATTATTATTATTATTTATTTACTTAATGACACGTTGTTTCGTTTCGTAGTCGTCAAGTGCCACGATAAGCTTCCGTTTTCCGTGATACGTAAATTTCGTCGTCGTTTTGTATATTAGAGAAAAATCGATTTTGATATCTTGAGTTTTTCTTTATCTCTTTCTCTCTCTCTCTCCCCTCTCTCTCCCTCTCTCTCTCTCTCTCTCTCTCTCTTTCTCTCTCTCTCTTTCGCTTTCGGTTTTCTAGGTGATATGATGGCAAGTATAAAAAGTGGTGGTCGGAGAACGTGAACGTGGAACTCTTTTTTTTTTTTTTTTTTTTTTTCTCCGATCCGAAAATAGAAAGTAAAAGTCTGCCTGACTACCTGCCTACCTGCATACCTGGCGAAATAATAATAATAATAATAGGTAAAAAGAAAGGAAGGAGTTTATTATTAAAAAAAAAAGAGAAAGTTTGCACATAGACGGGTCAATTGGAAGAAAGTTGAGAGTACATTGTGTGAATGAATTCGGCCTTGTCTCGCGTCTGGAATTTTATTCGCTTTAAGTTACATCCTGGCATATGGTGTTTCATATTATTTCCCCCTCTCCCTTCCCCCCTCTCCCCTCTGTAGAAAATCCCCTTTTGACGACGACGAAGAGTTTCAGGTTCGGTTTGAGGTTGATTGATCCTTGTTGACGTCATTTCCATGCACTCAAATCCGAAAAAAGCTATTTTTATCTTCTCACGGGTAATAATTAAATTATCGAAGAAGTTTAAATGAGTTTACCTCTTTCCCTCCCCCCACCTTCCTTCCTTCCTTCCCCCTCCTCCTTCATTTCGAATTAATTTGAAACGTGGCAGAAGAAAGAGGCAAAACGAAACATTTTTTTTTATTTTTTTCATTAGCCTTTTATTTATTTATATCTATTTATTATTATTATTATTATTTATTTTGTTTGTCCCCCCGTGCCTGTTACGACAAGGGCAAAATTTCATGAGGACTTATCATTATCATCTTCATCATCATTATTATTATTATTTTATTGTTTAAATGAATAAATAAATTTGTCCTTTTTTCGGGAATTTTTTAAAAATATGATGATGATGATAATAATAATAATAATATTTTTTTTTTTTTGTTTTTGCCAGGGAAAACGAAATCGATTTGTTTTTTTTTTTTTTTTTTTTGTTTTACCTTCGTTATTTGGAATAAATGATGTTTGTTCGTTTGTTTGTTCGCTTGTTTGTTTGTTTGTTTGTTTACGAACGTCTCGTTTTCGTTATCCGAAATTTTCGTCTTCTGCTAGGTATTAGAGAGTGACGCGTTTAAATTTATATTCGAAAGGCGGAAGGTAATTTTTCACCTTTTCTCTTTCTCTCTCTTTCTATCTTTCTCTCTTTGTATCTCTTTTCTCTCTCTCTCTCTCTCTCTCGTACGGTTTCGGTTTGTCGTTTGTTTAACAAACACGCTTGAAAATTTGTTCGCTAGAAAAAGTTTTCGAAACGTTTGCCAAGAAGAAGAAAAAAAAAAGGGACGAATGTGTTTTAATTCGGTTTGATTTTTTTCCCTTCGGTTGTTGTTATTGTTGTTGTTGTCTTTGTCGTTGTCGGTGTCGTCATCGTCGTCGTCGTCGTCGTCGTCGTCGTGGACAAAAAAAAACCAATTAACGTTTGGTTGTTAGAAAAATTTTCCACGTGCGCCTTATATCCGACCTTCGATAAATTTTCCTTGGGAAAAGTAACCGTATAGAAAAATTGTTTTTTTCTACCTTTCCTTCACTTTAGGCTCACGTATTTTTTTCCCTTATAATAATAATAATAATAATAATATTATAATGAGATGAACGAAGGAAACTTTGAAAATAAATAAGATAAATAATGATGATGATAATAATAATAATAATTGAAAAAATGAGTGTGAAATTACAAACTTTGTTTTTCATTTAATAATAATAACACGTGTATTTACCCGTTGTTTACCATCGTTTTTTAACGACAAAATAATAATGTTGTGTTTTGTGTTTGTGTTTGTTTTTCTGTTTGTTTTTGTTTTCGCGAAGAAAAATTTCACGAGGGAAACGTGTGCGTATGTATGCATGTATGTATTTGGTCGGATTCGAATTTCATTTTTGTTTTTCCTTCTTTCTCTCTCTTTCTCTGTCTCTCTCTCTCTCTCTCTCTCTCTCTCTCTCTCTTCTCATTGTTTGATCAAATTCCAAGCTTTGAAATATTGATTTGACATTACAAAAAAAAAAAAAAATGTTTTTAAATTTCTCTTTTCTCTCTCTCTCTCTCTCCCCTCCATCTCCCTCTCACTCTTCCCTTTAAAGACGTTGTTGCAATTTTATTGACACGCGGAAAATTAACGTGCTCCGCTTTATCACCCACGCAACACGTTTTAAAATTTGTTATTACCATTATCATTATTATTCTGGCGTTATGTGTGTGACCCTTTCGTTGATCCGAAATTGTTTCCTTTCTTTCTTTCTTTCTCTTTCCACACACACACACACACACATTGTGTGCGGGTGTGAAAATGGCGACAATTTACTCGTTACGAGCGCAAATTTCACGCCAGCAAAAAAAAAAAAAAAAAAAAAAAGTAACGATCGTATAAATAATAATGATAATGGTTTGCGTTTGCTCGACCCTATCCTTCTCCTTCCCTTCACACTCCTCCCCTCTCCCCCTCATCGTTTGAATCAATTTTTCGCTCCGTTAAGAGAGAGAGAGAGAGAGAGAGAGAGAAAGAGAAAAAAAATTTATTTTTATTTTTGTTTTATTCTTTCTCGCGATGACGTCACAAAGGTTTACAAATGACGTAATCCAACAGAAAATCAATTTGTTTATCGTGTCGTCAGAAAGAATAATAATAATAATAATAATAATAATAATAATAATAATAAAAAGATTTCACGTGAAGAATGTGATTCATAGGGAATTTCATCCGATTCGCGATTATTATCTTTGTCAATTTATTATTATTATTATTATTAATGTCGTTTTAAGGTTGTTTTTGAACGTTTCAAATTTTCTTTTTTTTTTTTTTTTTATTGAAAAATACACGCATGGTCACGCGGTTGTCACGTGTAACCGGGATCAGCGCCAACCCTTCGATAAGTTTTCATTCATTCATTATTTAAACTCATTTTTTTTTTTTTTTTTTTTCTGTTTCGTTTCAGAATTTCCAGTCAACATCATCGCGATTAATGGAGTTCTTTTTAGATAGTGCAGAATACTGCCAAGCTCAGCACACAAAATAAACGAGAAAAAAAAAAAAAAAAAAAGGAAAAAGGAAGGTGTTCGCCGGGTTCATCAGTCTACGGGTTGTTGTTGTTGTTTTTTTTTTTTTTTTTTTTTCCCTCTCTCCATCACTCTCTCTGTCTCTCTCTCTCTCTCTCTCTCTTCTCCTTCCACGTTCGTTCGTTCGTTCGTCGTCGGATAGATAAACAACGCTGGTTTTGTTACTATACATCGCGTGGAGTAATAAGTGAAATAAGGATAAATCATCACGTGACGAAAGGATCATCATCATCATTGTCGTCGTCGTCGTCGACAACGTCATCAGCAGCAACAGCAGCATCAGGAGCAGGAGCACCAGCAGAAGCAAAAGTCGAAACAACAAACAAAGCAGGAAACGTTTTTCTCTCTCCGCCACCACCACCACCGCACTCCTTCCCCTATTTAATTATTTTCCACCCTTCTCACTTCTATCCCGTTTTATCATCATTATCATCCCATCAGTATCGTAATCGTGATCATTATTAATATTATTATTATTTCCTCTGCTACTACCACCACCACCACTTTTCCTTTTCCTTTTCCTATCTTGTCTTTCTTGTTTTTTTACTCCGAGACATTTCGATAAAAGGACGAAAAATCTATCCTTGATCAATCAATCAATCAATCAATCAATCTTCTTACCTGTATTGTTTTCCTTTCGATTCCGAAATAGTTTTTCATTTTTTTTTTAAATTTACATATATCCTCGTCGGTAATCAGGCTGATAATAATAATAATAATAAAAGTTTTAAAAAAAATTCTAAATGAAACTGATTGAAGTAATACAGAAGAAATAATACTAATAATAATAATAATAATACTAATAATAGTATCTATTTGAGTGTTCAGTAAATGGAAGTTAAAGTTTTTTTTAAAAAATAAGAAAAAGACGAAGACGAAGAAGAAGAAGAAGGAGAAGAAGATAACAAAAAAAGAAGAAAAATATTTTTTTATATATATTGTAATCATATCAAAAAAACAAAACAATAGTTATCATCCGAAAGTTTTTGTTATCATTGACTCTCTCTTTCTCTCTCTTTCTTTCTCTTTCTCGTATATATTATTTTATTTTATTTTATTGTTTTTTTTTTTTTTTTTATACACAATTTTTATTCGGTTACTCATCGCCGCGAGATTTGTAAAGAAACAAACAAACAAACGGACAAACAAAAACTTGTCGTTAATGATTTAATAATAATAATAATAATTAAGAAGAAGAAGAAGAAGAGCAAGAACAAGACTGTGAAAAAGAAAAGTGATTAATTAAAAAGAACATTTTTTTTTGTTTTTGGTAATAAGGAGAAGAAGAAGAAGGTGAAAGAAATAACATCGAAGACTACGACGACGACAACAACCAACAACAGTCAACAACAGGAACAACAACAACCAACAGGAAGCGAGGTCACTAATAAAAAAACTCGACGTTTGTGTGTGTGTGCGCGCGCGCGCGCGTGTCGCCTCGTAGTGTTTTATATTTATATTACGTAAAATAAACAAAAGAAGAAAAGCAGAAGAAGAAAAGTAGAAGGAGAAGAAGAGGAAGAAGATAGTGTTGTTGGTTTTTTTTATTTATTTTTTTTTATCTGGGGGTTTTTGTTCGTGAGATGAGCAATACGTTATCCGGTCAAAACATGCGATCCAAAGATCTTAGACCCGCTCCGGCGGAAATCGAATTCAAAAACATGAAATTTCTCATAACGGACCGTCCCACTGATTTGACCATACAAAATTACATACAGGAATTGAAGAGGCACAACGTTCTCGACGTCGTTCGAGTCTGCGAACCCACGTATAAAATCTCAGAGCTTAAAAACGAAGGAATCAACGTGACGGATTTAGCTTTCGAAGATGGAACATCTCCGCCCCAGGAGGTTAGTATCCTTCATAATTATCATTATTATGTATATATATAATCGTGATAAGTCTTTGGTTCATAGTCCGTGCGTAAGGGGAGTCGTTTGTTGCAAGTTTGCAGGGTCAAGAAAACAAAAATGATTGCACGCGTAGCTATTTTACTTTTATTCCCCCCTCCCCCTTCTCTATCTCTCTCTCTCTCTTTCGTTTTTGTATTTTGTGTATTTTTTACGTAATAACGCAAAAGAAAGAGAGCGATGATAATATTAATAATAGCAACAGCAACAGGGTAATGGTTCCTTCCGCGGTAGCAAAAGTCAAAAAGGGAAGACAGAGGCAGGAAATAAATTAAAAAAGGACAGTCGCGAAAAAGAACAATGTACGATAGTGTAGTAGGTAGACGTCGTGAATAGATATCAAAAGACTCCTGAATAAATCATCGTGTTCGCCATTTTTTTTTTTTTTTGGGGGGCGGAAAAGGAAATGAATTAACACAATATCCGGTTTGTTTCGAAAAATTTCCAACCGGGGGGGGAGGGAGGGAAAAAGGTAAAATTCTGATGATTTCCGCAATAAATTATTATTTGTTGATGATAAACGTCCCGGAGGAAGGAGGGGGAAAAAGAAAAGGGGGAGGGGAACAGGTTGAATTTCTCGAGTGGGCGATTACGCGGGGGAGGGGGAAAGGTACGGAGGCGGGAAAAACGAAAAAGTCGTGGAAGAAGACGGAGATCAAAAAATTGCATTGAATTTGATTGCGGAGGTGTCGCGTCGGTTGAACGCTATTTAAATTTTCTTTTTTTTTTTTTTTTTTTTTTTTTTTTCATCCCCCTTCCCCCTTTCATTCATTCATTCATTCATTCATTCATTCATTCGTTTCAGATTGTCGAAATGTGGTTCGATCTTCTAAGGGCTAGGTTTACCGAATCTCCCGGAGCTTGTGTGGCTGTTCACTGCGTTGCCGGACTCGGAAGAGCTCCGGTCCTCGTCGCTTTAGCATTAATAGAATTAGGAATGAAATACGAGGATGCCGTTGATTTTATTAGAATGTGAGTAGTTTTATTCATTCATTCATTCATTCATTGAATGAATGAATGAATGAATGTTCGTTTTAGTGCCGTCTTTTTAATTTTAATTTTAATTTTTAGGAAAAGAAGAGGAGCGATAAATGCTAAACAATTGGCTTTCTTAGAAAAATATAAACCTAAATCTCGATTAAAATTAAAAAATGGTCAAAAAAGCACGTCGTGCGTCATACAATAGAAAAAAACGGTAAGCGAAAGTAAAGAAGAAGGAAAGGAGGAGGAGGAGGAGGAGAAGACTAAGAAGATTAATATATAAGAAAAACAAAAACAAACAAAAAAAAACATCAAAAACATCAAAAAAAAAAAAAAAAGAAAAAAGAAAAAAAAGAATAAAAGAAATTAAAAACTAAAAGAAAAAAAAAACTAAAAAAAAAACTAAAAAACTAAAAAACTAAAAAAACTAAAAAAACTAAAAAAAAAAACAAACAAAACAAACGGAAAAAAATAAAAGGAAAAAAAAAACAAAAACAAAAACAAAAAACAAAAAAACCGAATTGAGAAATTTTGTAATAATAATTAAAAAAAAAAAAAATAAGAGGAATAAGGTGGAGACGCCAAGTGGCAAAAAATAAAACTAAAAGGAAAGAAGTGAAAAACGCGCATAAACATATATTTATACATATAAACACACACACGTATTTATACAAAACAAACGTATATATATATATATAAATATTAATAGGAATAAAATAAGAGGAGAAAGAGTTAAAGAAAATTTTGTATACGGTATGAAAGCGATGATGAAAAGATAAAGGAGAAGAAGAAGAAGAAGAAGATGGTGATGATGTTGATGACGTAGATGAAAAGAAGAGAAGGAGGAGGAAGAGGAAGCAAAAGAAAAATGAAAAATCACAGCAAAGAAAATTTTTAAAGTGAAAAAGAAAAAAGAAAAAAGAAAACAATTCACCCACCGCCCCCCGCCCCCCGACACGCACATGAACAATATAACAAACGCAAACAACAAGAACAACCACAAGACGAAAAAAAACAAACTGGGAGGAAAACTAAAAGGCGAGATAAATAATAATTTTTTTTTTTTTCCAATTTTCTCACTCTCTCTCTCTCTCTCTCTCTGTCTCTTTCGCTCATTTATATTATTATTATTATTATTATTATTTTAATAATTTTGACGACGGATGCATATATGCGTGCATACATATATGGATTCGTATATACATACATAAATTAATTAATTAAGAGTAAACGATGAGTGATTACGTACGGTTTTTGGGGAAAATTTTGTTTGTTTGTTTGTTTGTTTGTTCGGGGTTGTTTTGTTGGCAAGTCGACCCTGAGTTTTTCTTTTGTTTGCCTTCTTGTGCATTTTTTTACATTTTTCTCCCTAACCTCTCTCCCCCCCCACTTCCTCCCCTCCGGTTGTTTTTAACTCTTCCTTTTTCCCTTTTGACTTTTTGACCTTTTTTTTAAAGTCCTTGATCTTCCCGTTTATTCCTTTTTTAATTTTTTTTTCCCTCCCAGATTTTTGCCGGAGTTGGAAATAGAAAGGAAAAAAAAATTTTATTATTATTATTATTATTATTATTATTATTTTGTAAAATGTTTTTCACGCCGCGTGTGTGTGGGTGTGCGCGCGTTTTTTTTTTTTTTTTTTTTTTTTTTCATTTAAATGTTTTGGTCATTTTCCCACGCGGGTAGAACAAAAAAAAAAATTGAGAGAAGAGGTGAGGAGAGTAGTAGTGAGAAGAAAGTTACGATGATGATGATGATGATGATAAGTAAACAAACTTATTATTATTATTATTAAAATTTGTGATTATGCGCGTGTCGGGCGGTGGTCCTTAAAATCCCCACTTAAATCCCCTGGAGAATAAATCCAGGGGGATTTGGTTGGTTTTTAGTTTTTATGGAGAAAAATTATAAAAGGAAAAAAAGGAAAAATTGGATTAATATTGTTTTTATCATTTCGACATTGGTGGAGTTTTTTTTTTTTTTTTTTATAATAATTTGAAATTTCGTCGGTTTGTTTTTTGTCCCCCCCCTTCCCTCCCATATTCCCCCCTTTTTAAACAAAGGAAAGGAAAAAAAAAAATTTTTTTTAATTATCAAATCAAAATGTGTGTTCAAAAAACAAAGGGATAACAAAAACAAAATGTGTTTAATTTTTTTTTTTTTTTTAATGATAATGATAACAATGATGATAAAATAAATATATATATATATTTCAAAAAAAAGGAAAATAATGATAATGATAATAATAATGTGATTTTTCGTTTGATTGATTTATTCATTGATTGTTTGTTTGTTTGATTGATTGATTGATTGATTGGTGAACGGTTAATTATTATACTGATACATGATGAATTTTTTTTAGTTATAAATAATAAATCAAATAATATAAATTGTAATATTTTATTTTATTTTATTTATTATTATTATTATTATTATTATTGTTATTGTTGTTTTTTTTCGATGGTTTTTCACAATGGCCGCCGCCGCCAACACCACCGCCCTCTATCGCCGCCATTTTTTTTTTTAAAAGGCGGTGATTAAAATGTGCGAACGCGAGTGTGCGTAGTGCGTGTTCAAGACGATGTAGTTTCAACGATTGACGACGTCGTCTGCTACGCACGATTTCGTTCATTCGATATATCGATCGATACATCGATACTACTTTGATCGTGAGTCATTATATTCGATGAGGTTAAAATGAAAATTAAATTCGCGACAATTAAAAATTTTAATTGTTTTCGTTAATTACGATGACGTGGGAGCAGAATTTCCGGTTCTTTTAATTTTTCCGAGGGGATCACTTGAAAATAAATTATAACTCGCACGAGGCACGTTTCAGGGGGGGGGGGGGAAATGGAATCCGAATGTCGTATGATTGATGATTTTATATTCCCTCCCTCCGCCCACCCCCCCCCCGAAAGAAAGAAGGCGTTTTGATAAGAAATTTTGATAGGTACATAAAAATTACGATTTTCGATAAGAGTTTTTGTTAACGCATCATTAAGGATGCGATTTTTTTTTTTTTTTTACATTTTCTTCAGGTGTCATACCGGATGTTTTACTTTCGGCGGAAAGAGAGAAGGAAGATGTGGCCATAGCTACCACCACCACCACCACCGACGCCATCTGGATCATCATCACGTATTTGTTTTTATTTAAAAAAAATGTATAATTAATATTTAAACGCGACAAATTGTGTTGAAAGTTGTCGTCCATTACGATGTAAATTAGTTGTCAACCAAACAAACACAAAAAAAATTTACTTTCCCCCTCCCACCACCCCACCCCCTCGCTAGACAATACGTAATCGATTGTCATCGATTGATTGATTGATTGATTTTCTATTCATTTTTTTTTGTGTTTGTTTGTTATTCGTATGTAAATTTTTTTATTTTTCGCCCTCGAAAAAATTTTCCCTGAAAAAAAAAAAAATGGCGTCGTTTGGAATTTGAGGTGAGAGGTTTTGAAAAAAAAAAAAATTCAACGGACGGATATTAAAAACCCCCAAAAAAAAAAAAATCGATAAGATAATAATAATAATAATAATAATAAATTAGAACATTCGATTAATAATAATAATAATAATAACGATATTTTTTTTTTAGCCGCAACAGTTCGATGATTAATCATTATTATTATCACGATCATCATAATCATCATCATTATTAATTTTATTATTTAAATTGAATTGTAAAAGAGGAAAAAATTTTTGACATTTTTTTCGATTTTTATTTACTTACAGGCTCGAAAGGGGGAAAAAAAAAGAAAAAAACAAAATGGCGGGAAAAATTTAAATGAAAATGATTCGTTTGAATTTAATTTTTGTTTTTTTTTTTTTTCTGTTACACTTCCGCATTACTTATGACGATACATCATCGAATGATAATAATGTTCCAGTTTAATTTCTGGAGAAATTCCTGGAAGATAAAATGGAGGAAACAAAAACCAAAATAAGGTAAATTAATCACTATAATAATAATAATAATAATAATAATAATTCATTTGCTTGCCCGTAAGAGCCTTGCCTTGAAAATTTAACGTTTACGCCCATTTCCCGTTTGTTTCGTGTTTTTATTATTTTCGTATTATTTTGTTTAAATTATTGAAAAATTTAAATTAATTTTTTTGGCGCGCGCTTGTCAAAAATGTCGCTCGAAAATGACAAAAAAAAAAAAAAAAAAAAATTTAAATTTAAATGACAATCGTCAATTATGATGATAATTATTATTATTATTATTATTTTTACTTAAATTTGAAACAAATACATAATTATAATAATTAATTTAAATTTATTTTGTTTGTTTGTTTGTTTGTAGCGCGCTTTCGCTAAAAAAAAACGCGCGAACGGAATTCAAATTTGATTTCGGTTTTGGGGGGGGGGGGATGGGAAAATAAACAAACAAACAAAATGGCGTCCGTTGGTATACGTTAATTACGTTGTCGTACGACGTAATTGTTTACAAAAATGTCCGCCGTCGTCGCTGTTGTCGCTCGTCTCATTCATTTAATTTTTTTTTTCGGGATTCGGTTCGACGATTTTAAATTTTACCGCGAACGTGACGTAATTGTTTCAAAACATTTTTCGATTATTCCCCTTCTCCGCTTTCTAATCAATTTCTTATCTCTCTCACGAACCCACCCTCAACCCATTCGAATTAGATTATTTAATTATTATTATTTATTATTTTCCGTTAAATTCAATTTATTAACTCCGCCATATTGTTTTTTTTTTTTAAATTTTTCTACGACACGTTAAAGTAATTTGTTGTTTTTTTTTTTTTTTACCCGCGGTCTACGATAATAATAATAATTATGTAAAGTTTTTTTTTTTTTTTTGTAAACCGCAAAAACGGTTTTGTCATTTTGTTTTTTTTTTTTTTTTGGGGTTGTTTAAAACAAAAAAAAAAAAAAGTATTTAGGTTTCGATAATTATGTAAAAAAAAAAAAAAAAAAAAATGTTTGTTATGAATTATGTAGCGAACCGAAATCGAAAAATCATTTCCTTGAAATTTATCATTTAAAAACTTTTAAAAAAAATTTTTTTTTTCTTTTTTTTTTTTTTTTTTTTTTTCTGGATAAGCGCAAATTCTCGACATATTTATTATAGCAAAAACGTTTCGGCCGTAAATTACATGGAAAATTAGCGCACGCGCGCGCGTCACTTTTTCTGTGATTAATTATTACAAGAAATAAAAAAAAAAAAAAAAA